GTTTAAAAGGGAAAATGGCAACGCGTTGCAGAGATTTTTATGCTCAATCGTGTAGGTTTTCTTTTGTATTCTGATTTCCTTTGATACGCCGACAATTTGGCTCAATCGTGTCGTAAAAAAGGTGTTTTATGCTCAATCGTGTCTCAGCCGTTTGTGGCAGCGGAATTTTTGTTTGAAGGTATAGCCATTATAGCTGTAGGGTGGATAATGGATACAGACATATAGTCATTACTCATTAGTTAGTAAAAACTTTTAAATACCATTCCTTGTGGACAATTAATATATACTGCTAGTGAGAAAACTATAGCCAAAATATCAGTGGTTGCAAATTTTTAATGGTGATTACTGATTTCAACTTAACAGTAAACCACGGTAATCGGGTAATATTGATTAATACTAAACATTAAACACTACTCAATACCTATATATTATATATAATATACGTTTATCTATTTAATAACATAGCTTTTAATAGTTTAAAAATTAACATAATATATATTATATAAAATATGTACCTATTATAATGTGTATTGTGTAACTTAAGGGGTATGAATAGTATTGAAAAAATTTATAAAAATGTACTTTTGTATTTCCAATAATATGGTTTATTAAATGGTTTGAGAGTAAAAACACCTATTATCAATATTGTAGAAGAGAAGTTAATCTGTGTCTGTATAGAAGTCAAATTTTAATATTTTTAATTACTAAACTCAATAATTCAAATTCAAAAAGTAAAATATCATAAGTTTTAGAGTTAAATATTGGACATTGAAAATAAAATATCGAAAATCGACTCCTATACAAGCCTAGATAAACTCCTTCTCTTCAATTTCTATAATAGGTGTTCATACTGTAATGTCACTCAGTAAGCTATATTATTGGAAATACGAAACTAAGTTTCAGTGTTTCACTAAAATTCACATTTGTAATTAGAGTGTAAAATGTTCCGCTAATGACATGTGCGTGCACGTGCGGGTGTGCTCCACTATTTATTTTATACACAGTCACCCACACTAATAATTACTTACTACGCACACATTTACACGACCCGCATGCACACCATTAGAAAATTGCCTATACCGAACTCCTTAGAAACGGTCGGTATGCATACCCCTTAATACGTACCTAAGTCATCTGTAAAAATTGAACATTTTATAAATCATTATTTTATCAACGTTGAAATACAAAAACAATAATAAGTTTTAGTGAATTTGACGAATTAGGCAGTATAAATAGTTGGTGAAAATTTAAATTATCTACAGTAACTCGTTCTTGAGTTATACAAAAATTCAAAATTCTTTGTGAATTTCAAGTTTTGCCAAAATTTCTGGTTTCCCTTATTTTTTTTTTTATTGACGCTTTTGGGGTTAATTGGGAACCTTTTACTTTTTAACTCCCATAGTACTAGCGTACTAACCTAATAAGTTAAAAATAGAAATTAATCAAATACTCATAGACCTGATATTATAATGTCTAAAATATTTTTAATTTTTTAGAGTCTGCATTAGTACCTATACATTATAATTTCCTTATTTTAAATACTTATTTATAAGTAATATTTACGAAGGTAAAACAGAAACTATATAACTACAACTATAACATTAGCATATATACGACCTGCAGCCACTTCTTAATTGGTTGACGAAATATTATTTCACGTGTGAAACTTAGTGTGCTAAGTACTGTGTTGGACTGTTGACAGCTATTTTAAGTCAAGGAAAAATAATTCAATTAATTGAAAACATTACTTTACTTTACTTTACTTTAAACACTATATAAATAGAAAACTTCAAAAAAGTTAAAAGTTAAAGACTTATTGAATAAAATTATTAAAACAATATTCACTGTCGAAATATTACAATATAAATAAATTATTCTATTCGATTAAACTACACAGTGTCTACTGTCTAATAACAATCATTGTCAACAATAAACAATATACTAGTCACCAGCTTCCTAGAATAATAATAATATTTGAGCCAGCAGTTATGAGGGTATTAATATATTACACATAATATGTTTATTTTTTATGTACTATAGCCAACTCAGTATAATAATATTATCAATTGTATGTACGACGTCATAACTAGGGCAGTGAAGTTGTTGCATTTGCATATTTTTTGTAAATTCTTATATTCATTGCTGAGTGAGCTTAAAATATGTTTCGTTAAGCTCTTAATTTAAACAAAAAAAAATTATACTGCAATAAATGCAATTTTGGAGATTTTTTGGTAGCGGTGTCGTATGCTATCTACGCACTGAATGTTATCTACACGACTACACATTGCTATTTACAATTTACATATAAATTATGTCGTATGCTATCTACTTCGTTTTAAACCAGAGCACTTCATAAATAAATGAAGATTGTCAATGAATGTTCTTAATTAAAGTTGAAAAGTATTTTTCATATCAATAAAAAATGTTTCGAACGTATTTGTTGTGTTTATGCATGGAGCGCCACCATTCTTCTTTAAGCTGCCTTTCCAGCAAATTAGTGGCACCATGCGATTTTATACCATATTTTACCTTTATATGTCGCCAATAACATTCCATAGTTTGAGTTTCAGCTCCTGTTTGTGATCAATGAAATTAATTTTATGATTTACGGTATTGTGGATATAGCCATGATCGTTTAAACAACTGTAAGCTTTCCATTCATCTGAAAAAATGGTCGTCCCTGGCTCAATTTCTCTTTTAATAATTGGAAGCAAAGTGGCAAAGAAGCAAAATATTTGTAGATAGCATACGACACCCCTACCCGATAAGGTATTTGTAGATAGCATACGACACTAGTATTCAGTGCGTAGATAGCATACGACACCGCTACCGATTTTTTTAGCAAAAAATTAAACAATCATATAAAGACGTTAATATAATATGTAATAGCCAATAGGTAATACAATTATTTTGAAGTTAAAGTTGAAAGGGGGCCCACTAAGTGTATGGTGTCCCGGGGCCCAATTGATCCTTAATCAGGGCTTGCATATTCGATGTTGGAAGCATTTAACGATGAAATACGAATTGGGAAATTTTATGACAATATAATTCGACAAGTACATTATAAAGATGCATTAATTGTTTTATAATAAAAAATAAAAATAATACGGTCAATGGGGGGGGGGGGGAGGCTTGAACCCAATGAGCACGCCCCTGGGGCCTTGTATGGGTGATGAGTGCGTGATGTCGTGATGGCTGGAGTGGAGTCCTATACAGTCTATTCCAAGAGAGAATAATCACTTTTCGCGCATCACGAATGATTCGATTGGTGCTTCGAGAACCACGTGATCACGTTAACACAGGGAAGTTGGTGGGGGATGCGCACCCTGACAAAAATCGGTCGGCGGACTGATTATTCTCTTGTGGAATAGACTATAGGCTATAATATGATCCTGAGTGATTGATAGTCCAATGCAATGATGATGACAATGGACCGTATGAGTCGTATGACGTGTCCGATGTGCACTAATTCCCGACGGCACATTGACACATATTATTATATACGTAGGAAAGAGCGGGTATTTTGGTATTGTGAATAATACTCACTACTCGGATAATAGACAAAATAAAGACCACAAAGTTCACATGACACATGGGTGGCGAGAGTGCGGTGCAAAACGTGGTTGTATGAAGAATGCAGATTGCAGATACACCGAACATACTTTATACCATGACAAATTTGAAATTAGATAGCTTTCATAGAAAATAGATGATAGCTATCATCGCAGTATTTTATTACGCATCATCTGATCTTTACTTCACCTAAATCGTAGTTCTCCACTCCTTATTGGCTGTCAATCATATACATACATATATAATATAGAACAAAATCAACCAATGAGAAGTGGAGAACTACGATATAGGCCGGAGGTGAAGGATATGCGTATCTACTGCGCAAAACTAGTACAACTGTGATGATACCTATCTAATTTGTCATGCTATATCATAGAGTAAGAATATGCTGTAAGAATATGCTGTAAGAATATGTGCTATATACTATATAGGGCCATAGAACAATATAATAGGGCCGAACCTATCGTAGGACTGGTTGATACTAATTATTAACAAAAATATAGTCATTAGGTATAATAATATGACTAACGGCAATGTGTTTATCGCTTTATTAAATGTGTAGTGTGTACGGAACAGTAATTGTTTTGAATCTAAATAAATAAAACAAAGTCGGGTTAGTTCCATCATTTATAAACTCAAGAACTAATTGTAAATTGTTATTTGTAAATTGTAATGATCTCTTATTTGTTGGATTCGTTTCCCCGATTACCAGAATAACTATTAAAAAATTGAAAAAATTAACTGACAAGTAGGAAATCTGGATGACAAAAATATAACAGTAGCGCTATCTATCCAACAAAAAAATTAAACTAAAATTTTGTTTATTTTAAGGTTGCTATTGGTTACATAAAATAAAATAAAATAGTTTATATTATGATTGAATATCATTTTAGACCTGTACTTTATATAAAACTAGTTGATCCCGCTTACTTTGCTGCCCGTAAAAAGGACTCTTAAAAAAATTGTGTTTGTTCAACTCCTTATGTGTTACTTGCTGCAGTAGGTGCAACTATAAAAAAAAAAAATAGTCGAATTTTAAAGTAAGAATATTATCTCATAGGATTTTATTTATATTTTAATTTTAAAATTGTAAATTGTTTGTATATTTTAAAATACTCATAACTTGCTTTAAAATTAAAATCCAAAAAAACCTATGATGTTCACTAGATAATATATAAAATCATACCTTTAAAGTTTATAACTTTTATAATTCACTCTAATTTTTAAACTAACAAAGTTAAACGTGATCTGCTGAGCTTACAATTTGCTTGTAAGACAGAGAGTATGCATGTGGATTGTAGGTGTGTCTTAATATTTTGCTATTAAATATTTTGGCCTAAGGAGTGAAATAAGTATTTAATTAAATTATTAAAAACTTGAATAATGCCTATTCATTCGGATTATTTATTTTAAAAAAAACATACATTTTACAAAGACAATTTAGATGAATGAAATTTAAAATGTTCTTCAATGAATGTTGATATAAAATAATATCCATGATCATAGCCATCTACAAGAAATACTTTGGTCTTGATTTTATTATCTTTACACTCATTGGCAGCTTTTACAAAATTATCAATTAGTAAATCTTTTGTTAAAAATTCATCATCACTACCCTGAAAACATTTCATTAAATTTAGAAATTAGTATGATTGTAAGCTATAAATATAAATTTAGATGTATTAATACTAACCACATGTATTAATATTTCCATTTCAGGGCCATTATAATTTTTTACTAAGAAAGTTGTATCCCAGTTTTGCAAAATTTCTTTTTCCTCTCCGACTAATGTCGTCAATCCACCAATTAATGTGGGTGAATTAGAAATATTGCAAGCAGGTGCAAATAATGACACTGATTTATATCTGCCTGGATATTTTAAAGCACATAACAATGCTCCATGACCACCCATACTATACATATAAAAAAAAATTATTATTATTATTATTATTATTATTATTTTAATAACATAAGCTAGAAAGCCATTAATCGTCCACATTTTTATATTTACCAATGTACATACATTGATACATTTATTGTCAATTGATTTAATAATACGAGTATAATAATAATTACGTGTTATTATTTATAATTTACATAATATGTTGCATAATTATATAATATTTTATATTAGTATTCATATACATTCCTACCTAGTGTGTAATGTGTATTCTCCTGATATTCCATATCATATTATAAGATATTTATCTTAGTTGTATGCAGTTAGCATATTTCTTTTATATTTTATAAATTGGAGGTTATGTTATATTAATATATTATAATTAAAGACCGGATTTATATTCTCTAAAAATACCTAAAATATGATGCTAATATTCTTTAAAAAACCCTTCAAATATTCTCATTATATTCTCTTAAAATTTTTGAAAATATGCTAAAATATGCATAAAATATATTCAAAAATATGCAAAAATAATCAATTAACATCATATTATGCTCTAATATGCATTAAAAAATTTTTTTTCAATATTATTTTAATAGTGAGGTATTAATGTTGCATTAGAATTAATGGAATACTATTGCACTTTAGTAATAGTTGGAAATGATAAAAAAAAAAATTTTAAATGTTCAAAAATTTTAATCCTGGGTACCGTAATATTAAAATTAAAAATAAATACAAATTTTTTCTCACAATTTACGAAATATTCCAAAATATGCAAAAAAAACTTTTTTCTACGCATTCAGAATTGAATGAATCGTCCAAATTTTTTACTCTTGTAAGACTGCATAGACCCAGTAACAATATGCAAAAACATATAAACCCGTTCTTTAATTATAATATAGGTACTTGTAACTTGTCTATGCTTTTTAAATTTTAAGAGGAATTTTTTAAATGATGAATTGCTGCTATTATACCAGTTGTCCACTTTCTTATATATTATTCTATATTATTTATGTATATATATTATACCTATGTCCAGTAATAGATATTTTATCTTGTATAACTGGGAAACTGTTCAATACGAGTTGATGGAGTTCCTCAGTTATATAGGTAAACATCTGATAGTGTTTATTCCACGGTTCTTCGGTAGCATTGACATACATAGAAGCACCAGAACCAACATTCCATTTTTCATCTTCATTAGGAATGTTACAGTTTCCTTTAAAAATTGAAAAAATAAAATTAGTGAAATAATAATTTGAAATAGGTAGAAATTACAACAATTTGAAATAGGTAAAAATTACAATAATTTGAAATAGGTAAAAATTACAATAATTTGAAATAGGTAGAAATTACAATAATTTTATTCCATTGAATACTAATCAAAATAGTATGAATCGTATAATACATTTAACCAACAAATGTGGTACTAAATATTTGATTTACTTTTAAGTTTTAATAGAACTTTAGTAACTATTTATAATAATTACTATACTCTGTTCACCGAGAGAAAACGCCGCGGCCCGATGAAAATAGGTTCGTTCTGCGCATCCCCTCGTGTCACCCACCCACCATAGCTGCCAGCGGCAGGACGCGACTGCCGACAGGAGTAGCTAGCATCGGTGTCGGTCGCCTATTGTCGTCGCGACGACCAGGCAGCTCAGAGGGAGAATAGAGCCTCGATTAGCGAGCAGCCATCAGTCTGCATGCACAGAACCGGTGTGTTCTTTCGGGAAATAGAGTATAATAATTATTAATCTTCTATATCCAAAGCTTATATTTTTTAATATCTTAGATATAATATAAAATGTATTAATACATAATTTTAAGGATTCTAATTTTCTAAATTGTTTTAGGTAGTCATGTATAAAAGAAATTAAATATTTCTTTCAAATTTATTTGCTCTATGATATAGGAAATAAACTTACTAGGACTAGTATCAGGAGCAACAACAATTATTTTGTACTGAGCAGCAAATTTTTGAAAACCTGCTTTAGTGATAACATTTTGTTCAGTGCATGTAAGACCTGATAAGTAAAATAATACCGGACATTTTTCAGTTTCACTCACTCCAGGAGGTAAGTAAATGCCAAATTGCATGTTACATTGCAATGTAGGACTGAAAAATAAAACAATTTAATGAAAAATTAAATTTGCAATATCTTGTTGGTGTTTAAATAATTTACCTAAAATGTTCATATACTTTCTGGTAACCACCAAAACTTTTACTGCTGGAAACAGACTTGAGATCCATTTTAACTAGATATCTATGAAAAAAAAAAAATTATATAGTTACTGAATCATACATATTATCATTTAAATAAAAATAAATATTAAAAAAGGAAATGATCTCCAGAAAATTGAATTGATCAAAATCAATATTAAAAAAATATTATATTATATATTTCACAGTTCTCAAATAAGGTACCTATGTCAAATTGACATAATGGCATAATAGCATACAAATATGGTATTATATAATAAATAAAAACTTGCTTCTAGGTAGGCGTCTACTATTAATTGGCTATGTTGAACAGTGTTATCAAGAATATCGACAGTAGTTACTCAAGCACAGCCGATAGTTTACAACTTAAGTCAAATACTCAAATGACATTTACAAAATTAATTGATATAAATAATTAATAACTACCTAAATAGATTTCAAATTGAAATAGAAATAGAAAAATCAAATAACCAACATTGTTGAAGTTAGAAAATGACCTAATACAAGTCAAGAAAAAAATAAAAATCATCTACAATCTACCATCTCCATCAGAATATAGAATAATACATCTAAATAGTGCAGAGAATAGTAATTAAGCATTCCGAAGTCCGAAACATGAACATCAGAGATAAACCTATTAAAATTAAACGATAAGAGACCCACTACTCACTAGTCACTGTGGCACGATTTAAGAAGATGCTAGTTTCAAGTTTGGTACACGAAAAGTCACAGATAATGAACTTAATTATAACAACTAATAATACATTTTACATTTATTTTAATATCTACAATCTACATCCAGCCGCATTCAGCTGTGCAAAAAGTAAACATTAAACAGTTATCACTTATCATAGAAAAAAACCAAACAGGTAATAGACACTCGGTCACTAGAATGCGCTCATGCCACCATATAACAGCTAATATAATCATGAATTAAAATATACCCACCAAAAACATATATGTAAAATGAGAGCCAAGTTCAATACTATAATATATGCCTTGGTTGTTGACTTCAACGACAAAAGAAGTGAGATCTAAATAGGTGCCAAGTTAGGATAATATATTGAAGCCTAAGGTGTGACTTGGCTACTTTTCATATACGAATTATTATTATAAGTACCTACTAAAACAGTAATGGAAGAGTGAAGATGATTTTCCGAAGAATAAAATAAGAACTCAAAGCTTTAGAACTTGCAAAATATGCTATAATATATAATTCGTAGCCAAGTCAGACCTTAGGTTTTCAATATATTATCCTAACTTGGCACCTATTTAGATCTCACTTCTTTTGTCGTTGAAGTCAACAACCAAGGCATATATTATAGTATTGAACTTGGCTCTCATTTTACATATATGTTTTTGGTGGGATATCATTACTTTTTGTATGTAAATTATTATAACCGAACCTAACCTAGCCATGATGTTTTCTATAAATAAAGTTTATTACTATATAATATAATTCAGTTACTAATATTAATAATAATATTTATTATAAAATATTTTCCGTTGTATATACAGAGTATAAAATATATTTAAAATTAATATACAATTATTTTAACTCTTTTTGAGTATATTTTTAATTATCATAATTTTATTGACTGTAGTTTCTACTGTTGGGTGGATACTTCATAATTTGTAAGAATAATTATTTAATTATTTTAATTGTAATATTTAAAAAAAATAATATTAATTACATACATAGATAGAAAAAAAAGTATGTTGCTGCGCGCGGGTCGACAATATCGACACATATTCGGCTAGTCATATTTTTGGAGCGGCGATACGGGAAAGGTAATTTAAGTCAACATTACATTACATTACATTACATTAAATTAGAGGCAATTCATTAATAAATTGAAAAATTAAACATAATAGATAAAATAATTGCAAAATTATAATAAAATCAATTGATTAAAAAATTAAAAAATTAAAAAATTAAAAAATTTTAAATTAAAAATTTTCAAGTTTCTGATTTTTTCCTTTGTATTTACCTAACTACCCCTATCTGTATGCCAAATTTGAACTTTCTAGGTCATCTGGAACTGGGTTAGAATTTTGATCTATAGGTATAAGTCAGTGATAAAAATGACGATTTTCGGACGTTAATATCTAAATAACGGTTTGAAGTGTGTTTATGAAATTTAGAGCACATATGTATCTCGTTAGTCTCAATATATGAGCCAAATTTGACATGTTTATGTGGAATAGTTTTTGAGTTATGAGGGGGTCAAAAGTGGCTCCAAATGGTTCGTGTAATATTACACACGGTGCTGCTCGCCAGTTCTGTTAGCTAGAACTTGGCTTGACACGCTACCGCGTGTCTAGATTATTTTAATTCGTGGAAATAATACTACTATAAGTACTATACTATTATAGTATATATCTGTGCATATGAATGAAGGAAAATTAGATAGGTAGGTCGTAGGTGCATAGAAAAGAGATTAAAGGGTAGGTGGTAAAAGCACGGTTTATGATAATTCTATCTTAAAGCGTGGGTAAAAGCCATACACATGTGGTAGGTATACAGTATTCATTTCCATGTTTAAACATAAGAAGAGGAGTATGTTTAAGGTTCAAGGTACATAGTTCAATAGTTGTAGTATATAGTAGGTACATAAAAATATAGTGCAGGAACGGGTCCAAGGGGTGGCTAGGGACCCAGGCCCTCCCTAAACATATTATTTCACTAATTTTCATAGGCAAATTTACATAAACATTGACATTAACCTAATAATATTACCGTTTTGGAAAAATCTACAATATGAAAATACGTTTGGATTTTGTTATTTAATATTATAATATACTATAATTTATACCTATAATAATCATTGATTGATTTATTACATTAAGCTTACACTAATATTGGGAAAAAATTTTAAATTAAGAATACAGTGTACCTACCTATATTGTAATAGGTACCTAATTGTATTTGTGTTGTAAAAAAATGTTTCCCCTCCCCTCAGATTTTTTTCTGGAGTCTGGATCCGTGCTTTCGATATAGTGTATATACTCAGAACTCAGAAGGTAAACAAATTTAAATTTGACATAAATACATTATGAATAATGATACATACCTAATAATATTATGCAAAAGACTGTGGTGTATTCTGATATTCACGTTGGCGGGAACTGGGAAGGGTTTAATTCCTTATTTACTATTTTTAAAATATATTTGTTCATATGGGTATTTTTATAATGCTGAAAATACAAGCACCCATGTCCCATAGTCGTAGTTAGCTTCCAAAATTATGTTTTGACGACGAGTGAGGACTAATGTCAAATAACAATAATGGTTATTGCTCAAATATGAAATGCCCTTCAATGTTGATTCTGAAAAAATAAACATGGACATTTATTGCGGTATTCTAAATTGGATTTTAGATTCTAAAAGGATGCGATGAATTTTTACAATGATGTGTGTATAGTGAGTTTTTTTCTTACTAAATCACCTTTTGGGACAGTAAAAATGGTTCGATGTTCAAGTGGTTCAACTTTGAGGGTGATTTCTGGTTATAAATCGGATCTAGTTGATACCCATGCAGGAAAAAGTTAACAAATTTCTTGGACTTTTCAAAATACCTAAGACCTAACAGGGGGAAAAAAATTATGAAAAACAGGAATTTTTAGTTCGTCTTTTTGTGTAACTCAAAAACTAATAACATAAGGTAGGTACTTGACATTTTCAACAGATATTTATATTAGCATTTTCTATAGAAAAACATTATTATACATAACTTCAAAAAAAACGAAAGTGAACTTTATTCAAATATCTATAAATAGCACAAAAAGAGCTAAAATATTTTGAAAATTTGAGGTATCTATAGTTATTCTTTCTTGAATTATAAGTTTTAACTAATAAACAAAATCAGTTTTGTGAAATACTGAAATACTTTTGCTTAAATAATAAATATTCCCACTTTCCCGCAAGCATTTTTTCCCCACGATTATTTTAAATAGAACTCGTATTTTTTTCGTAATTAAACATTAAAATAATACAATAAAAACTAGTCTCGAAGTTGAAGAATGTAGCATTCTACATTTTAGATTCTGAGTGGAACTTAAGTCTGATTTTACAATGATGTGTGTTTTTTTATTTTTTTACCTTTTTATTTTTGTGTCTGTAATCACGGTTTGGTGGCAGTAAAACTGCTTCAATTTTCTTCAACAGTTATATCTTGCTCGATAGAAAAGTGAATCTAGTTGTTGCATTCGAGAGGTCCAATTTTAAAGTTCAAAATAGTTTTCACAAGCACCGGGAAAAACAACATAAAAATTAAGGAAAACGGGAATTTTTCCACAAAATCGATTTTGGTTTTTGGTGTAACTCTAAAACAAATTAATGTATATACATGAAATGTTCACTGGCTGTTTATATTTGCATTTTCTATACACAATAAAATTTTCGAAACATTATGATTTGTTTTGAACTATTTAGGATCATTTTCATTATCCATTTTTTTTTAGGTTTTTTTCTAAAAATATCAATAAAATTTTATTTGTTGGTTAAAAAAGCTTGAAAATTTAAAAGAAAGTTCCTAGTATATTGTTTCAAAGGTAGATGAAAAATATTAAAAATCACAAAACATTTAAAATTGAATAATTATTTTGTAGTTAAAAATGTATAAAATTTTCAACTTTTATATCTAAGGATTGAAAATTTAAAACAAGATTCCAAGTAAGTAGTTAATTCTGTTACCAAAAAATCTAAAAAATATATAAGTACAGTTTATTTTTATAGTCATCTTAAGTTCAAATTTGGATGAAATTACATAAAAAAAACCTAAAATAACTATTTTCGTTATTTTGTTGTGATTGTATAATATTATTCGTGGGTACTTGAAACTTCTAAAGTACACTATTATACAGTATGTCCCAAAAGTCCCGTATCACCCTTAATATCTCCATTTAAAATCACTATATTTAAACGCGGTTTTTTTTACAGTACTAAGTATGAAAATTCTGATTGAATGGCAAAAAATTCATTTATTTTTTTCTTTAAATTCAAAAATTTTCAAAAAAATTTTTTACGC